CCTACCCCTACCCCCATTCTGGTTTTTCCTAAACGTGGTTAGGTTACTTTTGCTTTTTTTTCTCCATTTTTTTCTTTTTCATGGAATTTACCTCCAAGGTCGTAATTGCCCACCGAGAACGTTGGAAAGGTTCCTCGGGTGCGCTTGGGGCCTTTTATGGGACCCCGTCGGGCCGCGATTTTATTGGAGAGCTTAAGATTCCCCGTTGAACACAAAGGACCCACCCCGTCCTGCCCGGAAAACAATGCGTGATTTCCACTCTCAGATTGTTATTATTATATTGCACTCCGGGCCTCATAGACTGCACCCCTTATGTATTGTAAACTTGCCTTTACGTTCTGACCGTGCCGTGACGCGCTCGAATTTGCCAGCTTTTCGACAGTCTCGCACTTTGGGACCTTCATCGGGACCGTTAGGTCCCGAGAATGGCACGAATCCCAGCAACAAGTAAATATACCACAAAGGTCGTTTCAAAAAATTAGGTCGTTCCGTATTACGCTTTCAAAAAAAAATCACCTCCCTGACACAATCGCTAATACTCCCGGTACCATGTACCGATCAAAGATATTTAACAAAAAAAAAAAAATTTCCCAACAAAACAAAATTTCTCAATCAAATTTCAATAGAATCTCATTCATTAAAATTTCTCACTCAAGTCTCATTCAAATGTCCCGCCACTCAGAAGAGATGCACTACAGTCACTCGAAAAACTATCGCACGGCTCAGCCAAGCGGTACAATAATTAGCTCGAAGAGTGTCACTCGGGCCTAAAAAGAAAGCTATATGCAAAAAAAGATGGCGCCAAAATTCGAGCCAGGACCGTATAATGGCGTCTTAGGAAGTAGCGTGTCGCATAGTTAGACCCATACCATCCAACTATACCAACGTTAACGAAACAAAAGGAAACCAGAAGCACGCTACCTTAATGGCTGCCAGCAATGTACAAACAGACACAGGAAGAGAAAGACTACAGAGTTTTCATTCTGACATACATATATATACGTACACACAGATTCAACATACGAAAACAGTGCTCGTAAGAGAACACATAATGGCGGCGAAATTGCTAGCAAAAACGGAACGAGAGAATGGAAGTATAATTACCAGCGGGAAACACGAAACGCCAAGGTAAACACGCACGCAGGTACTTCTTTCACGAAATTCGAATTTCTAATGCCCACCACGATACACGTATACACCCATATATACCATTTATATATATCGTCCTTCCTCCTTCCTCTCAAGGAAAAACTTCCCCCCCTCCCCCTCTCTCTCCCTCTCTCTATCTTTTGCTCATTCCTCTCAAGGCTATACTCCATTCTTTTCACCTCTTTCTACATAACCAAAGCCCCCAACTTCTCTTTAGTTTCCATCCCAAAGCCGTCTCACGCTCTCCCCTGAGTTGGTACCGCGATACGACCGTCATAAAATGCAGATAATGTCCGCCTCTCGTGGCCCGCGGAGAAAAAGACTCGGGGAAGGATGGCCGCGCGCAGCGTCACGCAATCAAACAAGAACAAGAGAAGGAAGAACACGATGCGAGAACAGCGGCTTGAGAAAAAAAGAAAAGAAAGGAGAAAGAAAGAAAGAAAGAAAAAAGTGAACAAGATTTTCGTCGCGGCGTATATTCCGTTGCCGTTGGAACGATCGAGTGAAAATAAATATTTTTCGCTGGGTTAAGTTTATGAGTTTATGTTTTTTGTTTTTTTTCTCCTTTTTCAAAATTTTCACCCGTCACCTCGTTTTTTGGATTTTTTTTTTTTTTTTGGGGTTTTGAATCTTTAACTTTTGGCTGTTATTTTTTAAATTACTCTTTTACAACACTCGCATGCCACTATGTCTACTGCTTGCATTTGCCCATTGTCAATGGTTATCGATTGAACGCAGAATTTATCGATCGGTCCGATCGATGTATATTCTGAAACGGTTAATGTAAATTGGTTAATATAATTTACAAGCTTACGTAACGTGTTCGATAACATGCCGTACGTAGTAGCATGCAATCAATCAAACGTATGCGATTCGATGCGTAGCATATGTGACGATTAAGAAAATTGTCAGTGAATCTAATCGTGTAATAATTGACATTGTTATTTATGATTAGTTATATCATTGAAATAATTGAATGACAGCAAAGAGATTCTTTCTTACGGAGAAAAAAACAATGTCAAACAAATATAATGACGTGTGTCAAATAAATTTTCAATTTTTTTTTTTTTCCAACTCCAATGCAATTACGACACAGGGTATATTAGCATACGCGATTAATGACAATGGGATGAAAAATGAAAAATGAAAAAAAAAATATTAATGATGCATCTAATGCATTACTAACGTGGGATGCACTCTGGTCGTATATGCTTTTGTCGTGTGATTATTATTAATCAAATGCTATATAATGTCTATAGGTACTATATCAAATACAATTGTTCGAAAATGCAACAACGACACGGTGCGGGCGTAATGGATTATTGAATCGTACCGAGACCGTCGAGAGTGCAGATATCGTGCAGCACCGGTGCTGCACTGGACGCAGTTGCAGCGACGCTGCATGCTGCAACAGTAGAAACAGCCGTAAGTACCACAGCCTCCAAAAAATCATCTAATCCTTCGAAAAGTAGGGTCCACGCTGACAAGGACAATAGAGATGGATATAAGTTTATTGGGGGACAAATGATTTATGTATGCGCGATGTAGGTTCGAGTGTAAATTTTTTTTAATTTTCAAAAATTGTCTAAAATGTCAAAAAAAAACGTGTATTTTGAAGAAATTAATGCAAAAACCGCGTGACGGTGGATTTCGGAGGGGAAAGAAAGGGCTGTTGATGTTTTGTGCTGTTCCAGGGGCGGATACGGCGAATTCCGGCGGGCCCTACGAAGGGACCCTTCTCACAGATAATCTCACAAATATTTGAGAGCAATTAGCTGTTTGCACGCCTGTTAAACGTGTTTACATTGTTGCCGTATCTAGACCGGCGGGTCCTACGTGTTTACGGTTCCGATACGGCCCTTCCTTAGGCCTCCCCCTTTTTTGGGCCCCTTTTTAACCTTCTCTCCATTCTCTTACTGCTCTGACCCGGGGGTACGGTTGCTCCGACTTCTCTTTTATCTGGTGATATTACGGTCACTAGGGAATTTCTAGGGGAATTACCTGTTTCAATTGTAAAAATGTTCTATTGCCTCGATTCAATATATCCAAAACAATGTTATGTCAAGTTTGAATGTATTATTTTCTGATAAACGAATTACAGTGTCATTGATCGAATATTTTCAATTAAATATCAAATTCTCATTGTACCCTCAATCAATGTTTCTCCTGTAACCCAACGGTCATATACGTTCTGTCGTCAGTATAGTGTATACGTACTTCAATGTATCATCTTCTATAGTATTATCGTCAAGTTCTCAGTATTGAACTTAAATATGGCCCAAAAAAATAGCTGTACAATATACCATAAATATTTAGAATCTTCAGAACGACATCCCGATGTCATTAACAGGAGACAGCCAGGACTTTGTCAGACCTCAGAAGAGAAGCTGAAGTCTACCTCGAAAATTCTACGTGTTCGTGAGGCCCAAAAATTAATCCATCTGTCACCTTAAAATTGACAGGTCCAAGCTGTCAAGCTATTTCGGATAATAATAATTTTTGGAAATTTTCAATTCCCTACTAACCTGGATTAGGTTGACTCTGGTAAGATGGTTTTTTCATCCACTCGTAAGGGCTGCGAATTTGCGCGGGTCTGACGGGAGTCGTGGTGGCCGCCGTGTTAGTCCCATTGGGTCCGCTGCCATTGGCAGGTGGTGTAGCCGGCGTACCGGGGCTGCTAATCTCACTTCCGCTCACGGTAATTGGTGGACTTGGTTCACCGGTACCCACGGGGTTTCCGTTATTCCCAGCGTTTCCGCTGGTCTCGTCGCCACTGGTCCACTCGGGTTGTATTTGCTGATGGGGATAGGCCTGATGGTGATGATGGTGATGATGCTGATATTGCAAGTGATGGGAATAGTGATGAGCCGGATGGGGGTGCGGTGGCCACAGGACGTCTGGATGGTCTAGGTACTGCTGGGCCCCAGGGTTCTGATGATGGGCCCCGTAGCTACCATGGGACCCATACGTGTACCAATATTGCTGACCGGTACTGTCTGACACCACCCCTTGCTGGCCTTGTCCACTTGCTTGACCTGGGGCCCCTTGCTGAACGGGGCCCAATGCCTGCTGACTTCCCGTCTGCTGACCTCTGTACATGGTCAGCGGATTGTAATAAGACACCATGCCTATACTGCTTATGTCCGTCATTTGTGCAATTTTTAATGGTCCCACCCTCCAACGAGACACCTGCCCCTATTTTGGGACTTACCGATACTCAGGCCGATTCACCTATTATTATTATTCCAATAACACTTTATCGATATTATACCTAGAGTTCACTCCATTTAAAATTTCTTCTGACACACTAGAGGGCAGAGGTCCTCCTGCTCTTCGAGGGGAGACCGTAAAACGCACTGAATCAATTTTGAGAACGTTTTCGAAATTATCCCTTTTCGGGGGAAGAACGATAAAAAATCACTTGGTATCCGAATTACCCCTGTGTGGAATTACTGAAGATTTTTTACTCTCCGACCAACAATCACTGTACGTACTCGGTCCACGGCATTACCTATCCAGTTTTTTATTTAGCAATGCTCCGAGGGTGAAACGACACGACACTTATTTTTTTCCAAATTTGGAGAACACCAACCACCGTTTTTCGACACCTCTCTTAAGCTGATTATTTTCGATGTTACACCGACGGCTGCTCGTCCGTCTATGAGCCTCGACGTGACGAACGATTTGGGTCGTTGGCGCCGCCCACGTAAGCCACGCCCCTTGAGCAATAGGTGACACTTAACATCTCGACCAATCAGCACCCGTTTCGCATCCTCATTGCCAATGGGACGCGATCTACATTCCGGACCGTCATGGCGTCCGATTTCAGATCTCATCTGATTATTATTACATTGACGGTTCACGCCCAGAGATTCAGTACGCTGATAGTTAGGTATATGCTTTTTCATAATTTTCCAAAATTTTCAGGTCTTCTTTCAAAATCGTCTTAATGCCTGTTTTCACTTTTCAGGAATAATTGTTAATACCTCATTTCAATCATTACGACCTTTGACCGATTGTCGGGTCATAGTACAGTATTTTCATGTTTTCATGAAAATAAATTTCACGGTATCAATTACTAAATCGTAAATTTATATTTCGATTGTTTACGCCAGCTCGTATTCCTAATTATTGTATTCTACTGTTATTGATCTTTCTAGCGATATTTATTTTTACTCTCGCACGTTAATCCGCATTTAATTCGTCGCCAGCTGTACGAATGTCAAAAAAATTTTTGTTTCCTTAAATTCTTCTTAATTACCTTTATTTACCACCTAGCTCTGTTTCAAAATGCAATATACCCCGTGTCCTTATCTTCTCTTACTTCCACCATTTCTCTACGTAACGTTCTCCGTTTCCGCATTACCTTCTGTAAATATGGCCGAGCCACCCTAAATCCTAAATCTCGCTAATTCATACGGTCCACACTCAAGTATCCGTAATTATTTACACGTATTAGTCATGATTTATTCCTTGGGGGATGAAGGGTATAAGAAAATAGTAAACGTCAAGAAAGTAACGAGACGTATATGCGGGTGTCGAAAAAAATGTATACAGGGTGATGAAAAAGAAATTTTTTTAACATCGACCCCTGTTTTATTAATTTTTAATTTGTTTTAAATAACCCGTATGTGATGTACATTAAAAAATTATATCAATTCGGGAAAGTAATTTTTACGAATAAGTAATTCCATTTGTTTGATTCGCCAAGCGTCGGCAAAGCATCTCACGATGTCATTCGTGAACGGCGCGTTGAATTTGAACGAATCTCTCGGGAGTGTTGGATTTCTTTTTTTTATTTCGAGACCTCGTGTTGCCATACGTTTGTTTGAATTTCGTGACTCGGCGGATTAGAGTCTGGTGTCACTCGTCTACCTGGGACCATATGATACGTAAAAGAGCATGGACCAGTATGAAATTATAATTTTACTTGAAAAGTCCAAAAAAATTTATCCATCATACAGACACGATTCGCGGCCGATTATAATATCGAAAATATATTTTTTTTCGATATTAATGATTTTTACCTGAATCAACAAATTTTTTTATCGTACGCGTAATAGCGTACGTACCCTATAAACGCGTACAGCAACGTAATGGTACAGATGAATTTAATAGTGGACCTTGTCAAGCAGAAGAAATTTTAAATGTAAAATCTATATAATTCTGCTAAATATTGATTGGCTATCGGTTCTTATCGAATGGCGATAAGAATTAGTGAAAAATGTTATAATTGATTTTTCTTTATTTTTATCTTTTATTTTAACTTTCTTCGTATTTTCCTACACTTCTTCTTTCTTGTCCTTCTCTTTTTTCTTTCATTTATTGTACGTGTAATATCGTAGCCCAAAAGAGGAATGGCAGTACGCGACGAAATTCCAACTCGGCCGAATCTTTTTATCTGCGTTGTTTCACGAGATAAGTCCCTATTTGCCAGGGACAAACATCAGGCCCATAAAACGACGTATGTCTCCAGAGCACATATGCACGTACGTGTACCTATATACATATATATATATATATATATATAGGTATGGTACAGAATCGCACCCACGTACATACACTTGCGTGTATTTCCTCCTTTTATATTTTTTCTTGATTTCTTGCAGTTGGTAACCCACACGTCACAAACTTTATTGTAAACTGGTTTTTCAAAACAACAAATGCCTGCCATCCTAATTTCCAAATTTTATATTAAACTCATGCAGGATATCCTGTCGCATTGTACGTCGTTAAATCGATATTAACAATTTCTATACTGTAAGAAAAACAAGGCAAATCAATAACGAATGACAAAGAAAATATAAAAAAATCAAGCAGAGTAAAAGTTTTTAATTCCAAAAAGGGCTTATTCTGAAAATTCAAGTTATAAAAATGTTTTTTTGATTGACAATACTTTTTTTTCAAGTGAATTAAAAGCAATCGTGTCAAAAGTAAAAAAAAAAAAAGATAATAGTTTTACAGTCTTTTTTTTCGTGTTCCCGAATTTGCCTTAATTTTCGAATTTTATCCGTGTGCAGGTCTTTTCGGAATATCGCGGATACGTTCGCTACGTGTTTCCAATAGCCATAAAAAGATTGGCAGTAAAATTGAAGTTTCAGGTAAATTTTTACCCGGGCGTTACTGTCGTTTTATTTCGGGCCCGTTCGAGCAACGTCGAAAAGCCTGACGCAGGCAGCCCGATCGACTCATAAACTCCCTCCCGCCCTTAGCAAGTAAATAAAATTTTACAGCCCTTTGCCTCACCACTTACCCTTCCCTGGTAAACACGGTATGTCTTGCAATAAGTCGTGCAGGCCTGGTCCTTTTCAGAAATCCGTAATCCCTTTAAAACGAAACCGATTCGTCAAATCAAATTGAAGAATAATTTTTCGGTAGAATACAAAAGCGAAAAAAAAATTATGACCCTATACAAAATTATATTTATTATAAATTATTTTATTTATTTTATCGTATCCAATAATAATTATTTGAACGAGTGTAGCAAATGTTTTTTTTTTTTGAGGGGCCAGTCTCTTATGGGTTCACACGTTAGAGAGTCCCCTGACTAATTTTAATATCTATGCTCGCCATATTTTTTTTACACTCACCAGTTGTATCGTTATCGTTTACAGTAGTTTGTATTATTTAAATTTTTGAAAAAAAAATTTCCAATTCACATCTCCATAACGATGCTCGAGTAAGCTGACGCTTACTGTATAATATCTCGAAAGTAATATCACTGTTTTGGTTTACACGGATCACGACTGGTGGCTCGAATTCACTGGGGAACAATTGTAGGGCTATAAATAACGGCAATAGTATTACTGTTTACTACACAAGAACCGTAGGGGGTTGCCTTTATTACTGTATAATTACTATTGTCGTTAATATTCTTTAGCCATTATTGATTTCTTACTTAAGCCTCGCACATTTTTCACGATGAAAATAGTACGGTCGATAAGAAATAAAAATAAAATTGAGCAAAGATCGAAAAGCCAAAGAAAACGTCATCCAACGTAGATACACCAAAGACAAAGCATGAAAGAAAATGGTGTATATTAAAAAATTTTGACACTTCGGGTAAACAGGTAAACGAAATAAAAAAAGAATCCCTAATCAAAGACACGCTAAAGCCGCACCGTGAAAATGGAAGGATTTTTTTTTGGCAGAGAAAACAACTTTTTTACCCAAAAAAATTTTATTCGTAAAAACAAATACTAGGTAATCTTTATGTAAGCTTCGCGTACGTTTATGAGACTCATTTCCCGATCCAACAATAGTCGCTTTTAATTACGTAAATGGCACGTAGCACTTGCGTGAAACTTACGTGAGTGTCTGCGAAGTCAAATGAAATCGGCCATTTTGGTGTGCAATTGGTATCGCATAATAATTGCACAGCGATTATAACGTCACTTTTAAAATAATGTCAGAGGTCAAAAGTAATCGGCTATTTTGGTGTGCAATTGATATCGCATAATAATTCGACAGCGACTATAATGTCACTTTCACAATAATAACAAGTCTTATTATTTCCTATTATTTTCCCCCTAAAACTCAATGCTCGGCTTGGGCCCAAATTAACAATTGACAGCCATACGTTCAGTCATTCAGTCTACGTTCAGCGGCAGTAAATAACAATTATTAATTGCAAGGATGAATCCGAGATTTTTGGCTTTATATCAACGTTGATTTACAATACGCGAATATAGTATCGCCGTGGTACCATGCGGGTATCGTTATTTGCTGCCTCAGCTGCGAATTCTCTTTTTTCCACGAGCCCCATTAAGTCGTAAATTAAACGCGATACTTTTCCCACGTTTCCACCACCCATCGAAACGCTTAATGAAAAGCTCCGAAACTTTCGCAGTAGATCAAACATACACTCGATCCATAAATTAGAACTTTTTAATAACTTTTTTTAAAATTGTCATTCCAAAAACCTTCAATTTGTCCGGATCGATCGACCAATTTACGAACATTACGTGAAACATAATTTATAAAAAAAGCGTCAATAGATTAAATAAATACATACCAGATACATAATACCCAGGTTATACAGGGTAACGAAGGTATTAATAGAGCCCGAAAAAAAAAACGTGCAGCCCTCCTTCGAATAGATAAAAAATAATAATAGGTTAAGAAATCAGCACAATGTACACCGTCGCAATTATATTACATTGTACGTAAGTCCGTTACGTGGCAATGTAGAACTTTGAATTTTCGCGGTATCAGCCAAAGAAACGGCGGTGGGAGATTTAAAAGAGAACCTAACAAGATATGGTTAATCTTCCCACCCATAGGCGGAGCATAGGTAGCTGGGTAACGTTAAGAGGGGATAAAACGGACAAGTCAGATAGGTCGTTCGCTACTGAGATTACGTGGGTAGGGATATGGCGTTGATAGTAGTGTGGGGGGGTGGTATTTCGGGGTGGGATAGGGGCTGAGGGGGTAACATGGGTTTTATATGTTTTCAAGTCAATATTGTGACACACGTCGTGGCAGCGTCGACGCTGTTGGCGTTCACACCCAGCGCGGCCATTATACGTGAATTATCATTGTCAGACTATACGTTGGAGACGGCTGTCTATAGTCTCGTAGTCTATGGTCTAAGGGATGGCCGTATCTCAGACTATATGGATTTCGCTCGACACTGTTTCGATTCGGC